GGCCCAACCCCCCAAAATCCCCGCCGCCTCCCTCCAAAACCAAAACGGGCCCCCACGGGCCAAAAAGCCCCGCAGGTCTCCCCCCCCCCCCTGTAAACATCCAGAATTCATTTTTTATGGCTGAATTTGTTTTGTAACAACTAGAACCAAATCTGAGTGTATATATTTTTTTCTTTGAAAAATATTGTTCTGGTGATTTTTGACAGATTTTACAAAATTCGCCCTAAGCAAAAAAACACGTTTTTCAGGTCATTTTTGGCCCTTGTATACCCTGTTTCTTATACACGGAAGCATCCGGAAATTCTGAGTCTATGACAACTTGTGCTCTGCTAGTCAAGATCTCTCTACCCTGAAAGTTTCAGAATTTTTGGTGGAGCCCTTCTTGAGAAACCCGGGAAAACATTTTCACGTCCAGAAAGGGAGGGGGTGCCCTTAAAACTGCATCGAATACTGTGTAAGAAATCATATTCGAAAGAAAGAAAGAATATTTTGATGAAAAATAGGTCGGTTGCAAGAAATTTAAAGCCAGTACTTTTTTCTAAAAACTTTTAGTCTAAAATAGTTCTATTATGCCTAAAAAAATGTGTGGAATATTCTGGGATACTTTTAAAGTGTGAATACCCTCCTTATAGATGTTCATGAGTGTTATTCAATTCAGCGATTCGAGCTCTATTATCCTATATAGGTTTTGTTTGGCGATATTTCTGGATGTTCGTGGGTATTCGCATACTGTACAAATACTCTTCTTAGGTTGACTGCAAATAAAATCCAGACAATTCTGAGCCAAAGAGATACGATTACAACAATTTAGTTTCACAAGTTATACACACAGAAAAAGGGCTTTCTTTCACCCACAACTAGAACCCTATAAATCAAACCTTTTTGTTGTGCCAAGTTCGACTCCCAACACAGTAAATTTTTGTGTCGTCCTGTTCGTTTGATTCTACATTTAAAAGTTCTTTTTTTAGAAAATATGTTTTACATTTTACTTACTGGTCAAAAAGAAAGAATTATAAACTGCGTTTTAAGTATGAGACATCTTCTGAAGTTTAAATTTAAATTATTCTGTGTCTCCCGATTACCTTTATTAGCTATTACAAAATTGCAGTTCTGGTTTGTTGGATTCCGGAAATTAAACATTCGAAGTTGCAGCACAATACAAGCAACTTACGGGGCAATCTCTTTCTGCGACTTGTGCCCATACCCACCAGTCCCGTCCGATAGTACAGACCAATCTGGGTTTCGGATTCCTCTGCAGGACTCCGCGCACAACATTTGCCAAACGTGACAGAGCGACATTCTGCCTTACATGACGAGATCTAACTATTGATTTAAATATTTTTACGGCTTTCCAATATAATCAGTTATTTTACGTTTCTTTTTCATTCATACGCATAATATATATTTTTCTGTGAAACTTAATAATATTACATATGCAAATGCTCACTGCATCGCATTTATTCCATGCAATGAACGCACTAATGCATATGTAACGCTAATTGCAACATTGACCGCGATAACGTATCATCAGACAATGTACGTTGCATATAACGCTGTCGTCTGGATCGTGAAATTTAGACAAATAACCTTAAAAGGTATGGTAAAACGAATTGTCATGGTTACTGTACAATAAGTAATTGAGTAATGGAGGAAAACTTATCTCATAATCAGAGGGTTTCTTCGATCATGGAGTATTTTTTACACCTGCTGTTTCAAATCTTCGTACTTAATGGCAATTTTCTGTGGTTTTTAATCGTATTCTGTGCCTTTCTTCAGGTAGGCGACTTATTGTAATAACTAACTCTTCACAACTATCCGGCGGCAAATGGAGTCGAACGAAAAAAGACAAAACGAAAGCCGTAACACTAATAACTGTTAATGAGTTCGAAAAATGTCTTTGACAAAATAATATTATCTTGAATAACGAGATCTTGTTCGTGCCAGAATGCGAACAAAGTATTGTAGTTTAAAAGATCTTAACAAATAAGTCAAGACGAAACTATTCGCGGCTTCTTGTCTCATGACTGGTGAAAAAAGAGCAGCGGCTTCTAAATTTGATCAATTCACCTGCTGATGTGTTTTTTTTTAATCACTTCCTGCTTTTAAAAATTCACCTACTTCTCCTAAATCAGTACCGATCCTTCAGATTTTGGGTTGTGGTTAGGAAAGCTGTTAAGAAGTAATATAATGTTTTGTCAAATATTTTGTTTCTACTGAGAAAAAATGAGAATTTTTTGATTATTGAGTGCAGGTCCTCGTCAAAAGATCTTGTGAATCAAAATACACCTAAAAGCGATGGATTCGCTCAGCAGATGTATTCTACTTATTGTCTTTCAAAGAATAACATTTTACTCGGTGAAATGACCTCCTACGTTACGTTACATATGTTTTCTTTCTTTGTTATACGATGTCGACGACAGAACAAAATTAAATCTGACGATATAATTTAACGTTTTTTCTGTGATAATAATAAATGAATCAGATTTAAAGAATAAAGAAAGAAAGAAAAATTCATTTCTTCTTTCTTTTCGTCATTGTTTTTCTTCGACTATGCATATAGACGCATACTGTTTCAAAAACATGTAGAAATTAAATCGCAAGTACATTTTTTAAAGAGCTGTGATTGAAATTCACCAGCACGTATCAATGTTATTAAAAGTATCCTATTTAACAGATGAATATTCATATTTTGAATAATGATAGTTTTTTTTACTATAATTTTCTCTCGCAAATATAACAATTTTTTAGTAGAGTTAATATCATTCTTTTGATCTAGACAAAATAAGCAAATACGAATTAGAAGAAAATTATATTACCTAATATTTTGTGTTTTAGATGCATCGTCTTTTGATCTTTAATTTATCCACAACTTTATAATGAGCAATTTAAATAACGATAATAACGCTGTTCCAAAACGTCGAAGTAGTAAAGACCCAGTTGCATTCTACGAAGTTCCATCTGGTGTTGTTGTTCCTTCGAAAATTATTAGCGATGCTAAACAGTCACTGAAAGAAATACCAACATCTCGTCCGTATACACCACGTGATGAAACAAGATTTAGTCTTGGTAGACTACCAGTTTATGTAAACAATCAGGATATATCATCTAGGTACTAGCATAAAAATATCGCTTAAAAATCATATTTTTTGTAAAATTTTATTTTTTTTATTTAGTGTAACATCTGTCGACTATGAAACAGAATCTCGTCCGGTTTCAGGTCAGCCACGAACAACCATAATATCGCAGCCTTCACCACCTTCCACTACGCAAGTAAACATTAATTTAAGATAAATAATTTAATTTTTTCTAAGATAAAATTCTTTTTGTTTTCAGACATCCGACTCGAGACAACGAAAGTCGTCCTCGAAAGGTAAATGTGTAGTGAAAATTTTTCCTAAGCAAAATTCTATTTTAGTATCATTGTAGAATCATCAATTGGAAATAGTAAATCTTCTCAAAATACTTCTGATGTTGATTACTCATCAATACCACCCCAATCAAGGTATATATATTTAATTAAAACATTTTGTTTTGTTAATTAGTACTTTTTCTGTTGTAGAATAGCGAAAATATCATCATCTGAAATAACAAAATCTAAAGTACCCTCGAAACATTCGCCAGTTGTAACAGCGACTACACATTCTACTACCTTATCAACATCAACGAGTGTATCAACCACAAGAAGAGATAGCAATCCACGAATAGGTAACTAATCTGTGTTATTTTGAAAAATAAACTATTCTTGACGATTTTAGAGCTTTTTCGTATTTTGCAGACATTTCTTTCATGACAAGGTATCGTGTTTAAAATTCTATTGATGATCGGATTAAGAAGATTGCACATCTTCACTTTTAATTGTGAATATGATCGCACAGGATGGAAAATATTTCATCTAAATGAACACAAAAGGTCTCGTATTTGACGTAGCCTTCTCCCTTAAGTTAATGAACGAGATAAATAGAAATTTTATTTTATTTACAATTTTTAAAAGATAATTTATCAACTGTTTATGCACAAAAAAGCATAAATTATAATTTACACGTTTACTTGCATATTATTATTGACATTCTTTTCTCTCATCATCAACATAACTGAGAGCTTGTTTGTTGATTTGCGTGTGCCTCCAGGATTTTGGAATATTTTTTAGTTAAGCTTCGCTGAAGAATTTTTCCACGGAGATGTTTGGATTAGCCTGTGTCCATTTTACAATTTATTCATGCAGTTACTAAAATATAGCATGTGTTTTGATGATAGTTCTAGCACCATAGGCAAAAAGGAGACTCGTTTTATACTTCAAAACGCGTCATTCTGAGCTTAGTTCACGCGTAATTACGCGAAAAAAGTCATACCCAGTGGAAAAGACGTCTTACAAGATCTGGAAAACCAATCTTTCAGAAACTCTAGAAGATAACCAAAACCTTTCTTAATGAGGTATAATTGTAGTCCGCAAATTTCTGACAAAAATGAGACATCTCCCAGCTTTACACGACCTTTCTTTGCAAAGTTATAGAATTTACAAGAAAAGCCCTAAATATTGATTGTCAGAGCTACAGAAATAAAAAGGAAAAAATTAATTTTGGTTACTTTTTAGTTTCTGAAAGACTAATTTTCCAGAAAAACGGGTCTTCGAACGGCTATGAGGAACCTCCATGGTCATTTTCGAAATCAGTATTATCGATAACCTATAACTCACTAGATTTCGATCAAAAAGCGATTTATCAGTTGGGGATGTTCCCTCGTTAGAGTCCCGAGAAAAGTGCTTTTTCGCATTCAATACACTCGATAACAAAGATTTTCTATTTTTGGAGAGAAATACTGTCAGAAGTTTAGGAAAAACTTTTAAATAAAACACTTTCTATGGGAAAATAATATTAGTTTAAAAATTTTTCTTAAACTTAAATCTCTCATCAAAAATAGAAAATCTTCTTCGCTATTGAATGTATTGAATACAAAAAAGCACTTTTTCCGCGACTCTAAATGAATTCTGTTTTTTCTTAATGTTGATATGATGTATAAGAATTGATAAGATCATATTTTAAGGTTCCTTTTTGTGTAAGTTTTACTAAAACCTACGCAAAAAGGAATGTAGGTAAAACGTCCATGCGTAAAACCGTTTTATCCATGGAAATCACTTTCTTTTGTTAGTCAATCTACCACATCAACGAGATACTACGACAAAGATAATCCATAGTTTGGAGATGTGAAATATGTCGTTCATTGCTCTTATAGTATCCCTAAGGAAATGTTTATATATGACTGTGATTACCTAGTGTTATTAGGGAGAAATGGATATTTCTAAATATTAGTGAGAAAATAGCTATCAATTTATTTTCCTATTTCTGCTATATCCGATTTTTATTTATCAAAAGAATATTTATTAAATTTAGGTAGTGCATCTTCTTATAAAGATGAAACACCAGAAGAAACTGCCTTATGGAATACACAAATAGTTCCATTAATCGACACATTATTAACATCTTATGAACGTAAGTTATTGTATTATATTTTATAAATATAATAGAAAATTCTTATCTTTCATTTATAGAACGTAATTTTGATTTATTTAATCGTACGGGCAATGAACTTTATCATCGTTTAAATGTAAATAATTTATTTTCAAAAAAATGTAAACGACGAACGGATATATTAAAAATGTTTTTTGGTTTTATTGAATGTGATAATTCTATTGTTAAATATCATGTAGCTCGACTTAGTTTAGCGGTATATATAGAATTTTATATATTGTCTTGATATTCTAAATAATTCTTTTTCATTCTAGTTTCAAGTTAGTAGTACAAATAATTTAAAAAATATAATCCGTTTAATATCGGATCTAAGTGGAAATTCGGAAAATGATCATTTTTTTTTAACAAATAATTTGTTAGGTATAAACAAAAGTTAAATTTGTTTTGTTTTTTCTATAGAAATGTGACAGTTTTATATTCTCTTTTAGATTTATTATTTGATGGAATTGAACGTATTGAAGTAGTCAAAAATATTGATACAATTGTCTATTTTTGTTGTGCATTAAAAAATTTAACTGTTAGTGATAAATTATTAAAAATTGTGTCAGAAAAAAATGGAGTCGTATTACTTCAAAATATTTTTAAAACTATACTACGTGTATGTTGTTCATATTTTTCTGATTATTCAATTTATATTAAATTTTATTTTTTTCTAGTACAAGGATCAAGAAGATGTGAAAAATCAAATTTGTCATTGTTTAATACAGGTTCGTTATTATACATTGTTGTTCATTTGATAAAACATTCTTTCTATTTGCTTTTTTATTTTTTTAGATAACAGCCACATTACGAAATTTAGCTGATAAAACGGATAATCGTATTAAATTTGTTGAAAATAATCTTATTGATAATTTGGCACAAGTATTAAAATATTTTACAAGTGTTGCTGAACTAATGAAAAATGTTGCTAGAATATTAAGGTATGTCTTTATAGAACATTTTTGAGAATGAAAAAAACACAAAATCTACTAAAATGATGTTTTTTATTTAAAATTTTAAGTAAACTAACTCAACATACTGATTGTTGTTTAAAATTAGTTCAATGTCCATCATGTTACAAATCATTTTTAAAAATATTAATTAAACATGAAAGTAAACAAGTAAGTGACGAGAAAAACAATATAAATTGAGTTTAATTTTATTCTTGACTACTATTTATTTAGGCAATTATTGTTCGTATTTGCTTTATATTGGGTAATATGTTAGCGAAAAGTGAAGAAGCTCGTATTACTTTTATGAAAGAAAAATATGCATTAGAAACATTAACAAAATTATTACATTCTTATATTGAAATGGACTCTATGGTAAAGAGGATTTTTTATTTTAATTCAATTTAACTTATTTTTTCTTTTCGTTGTTTTTTTAGATAATAAAACCACATAATTTCGAAATTGAAACAACAACACGAGAAGATGATGGCGAAGAAAATACGGCAAAATCAGTGGAAAATGTTATTAATAAAGTAATACGTGTACTAAGTAATTTGGCTATATCGGAAGAAAATGGTTTGAAAATTATTCAAAATGATAAATGTATTATACCATTATTTAGTTTACTGGGTATGATAAATAATGAATTTTAAAAATTAGATACCAATTACCCTATACTGACCAGAGTCCAAAACGAATCGAATGATTCGACATTCGGTTCGATTTGATTCGGCAAGTAGCCGAATCAAATCGAACCGAACCGAATTTGACTTTTGAAAGACAAATCAGCCGCTCAGTTGAAACACTTTAATCAAGCTAAGCTACAATGACATCGTATAAAGTAACAAAGGCACCATGTAATAAAATTTTGTCCTTTTTTCTTTTATACCGCTCAGAAACATATAATTGCATTAGAAAGAGGAACATATAATATCTTTTAATGAGTTATTAAGATATCTACTCAAATTCATTTCCAGACATCAGAGTTTTTGAGAGCATCAGAACGGATGTCACACATAACCGACATTCGCTTATTTTTTTATCATTAATGTTGAGATCTTTTCAATTGGAAACTCGACCGAATGAAACATTTTTGTTTTAGAAACACTTTAGACAACCGTGTGAATCTCTTAAGATACAGTTAGAACACTGCAGCACTCTAGTAGTAAACATATTGATATATTCTGTCGGTACTGATGTTTCTGACTATAAATGCATCAAACTACACAAAAATATAGACCGATAAGTGGCACATGACTATTTAATGAGTCACTCTACACTTTTCATACTGAATCTATATGAAATGTGTCACATAATAATTAATTATCAATTGAAAATATGCCCAATTTTTGGGACTTAATAATTAATAATTAAAAAATATGTCGAAAAAATACCTTCATATGTGTCATTTACAGCTCTTGCACTCACAAATGATCTGTGCGATTAAAGGTAGCTGAGAACGAGTGGCTGATCAAAATTTTTTGTAGTGAAAAAGAATAAAGCCGTTCAGCTTAATTAACGAGATCTAGGTGAATCCGTTTCTTTTGTTTAGACGCGCCAAAACAACACAGTGAAGATTTGATTATTCATGTACTAATGGCTTTAAATAATTTATCCTATTATGATGATAATCAAAGTATTATTGTGAAAAATGCAGAAAATTTAACAAAATGTAAATTTTATTCACTTCTCTCTATTTTTCTTATTATATCTTCTATACTCTTTAAATATGTGTTTAGTATTGTTGAGTTACATACGTAATGGTAATAAAATTGATTTTGTTATCGAAGGATTTCGTGTATTAGGAAATTTATCTCGAATGAAAAATGTTCGGAACGTATTATTACATTCCAAAGGTATTTTGACTATATTTCATAAATAAAAGCAAAAAAAATTAATCAAATCAATTATTTTATTTTAGTTGATCGTTTAGCAATTGATTATTGTGAATCGGATAATATCGAATTATTATACGCTGTTATTGGTGTTATTATTAATCTAACAGTAGATGAAGATAAACGTTCTTATTTGAAGGCAAACAATGGATTAATAAGGTATACCATTATTAGTGTTCTAGTATGTTTATTTTCACATATTTTTGTGTTTTAGTTTGATAAGTGTATTAGAATGTTCAGTAAATCAAGATTGGCAATTAGCTAGTTTAGTTTGTAAAGCCTTATGGAATTACTGTGATAATGGAAATCAAGTATTATGGTTTAACAATGATGAGTTAGAACAATTATTTACTATATTTAATAAAACATTACGTAAATGATTATTTTTGTACTTCTTCACTCTCTCACTTTCTTTCTCAGGAACATACAAGGATGTTTTGACTTCATTGTTTATCTTTATACATTTAGGTAAAGATTTATTACTCTCAACGGAAGACGAAGAATTAGATAAGATAAATAATGATTTATGGAAAGAAGAATATTATCCAGTAGCATCACGATTGTATCGTCGTTTAGCTGATCAAGGAAATCATAGTGAAACATTTCAAATTGAACATATTGCTTGAAAAGTTTTCTTGCTTAGTTCAGTCTTTCATATATACACACACACACACACACACACTCACCACAGTTTTATATATCACATCATTCACAAATTGTCAATTTGTTCCTGTTTTTAGAACATTTTTTCTTGTCTTGACTTTTCAAATTTTATCTTGCCGTATTTCTATATGATAAATATTATTTTTGTTGTTATAATGATGTAAAAACTCTTATTTGTACTAAATACAGTGTTGGTATTAAGTATTCATACATTCTCGGGATAAAACTAGTTGTAATTCCTATCTCGTAAACAATATGAACTGGCAGAATTGATCTTTCAGCAAAATATTAGAGATTCTCTTTGATATATTTTCTCAAAATGAAATCATAAGAGCTTAAACTTTTTGTTTCAGAAGTGGAACATCAAAAATTCTGCTTTTTTTGCTGTCAGAAATACAGCCTCCACAAGTTCTTACAACGGTTCTCGGCTACACTTCGTTTGATAAAATTCGTCAAAAATTTCTGTAGAAAATTCTACTCCTAAAAAAGCTTCTTTTTTGTAGATTGATCAAATGAATTTATGAGTACCCGTAGTATTGCAGAGCTGTAATCCTGGAAAGAACGGACAATGTAGTATGTCGCTTATGACTACTATAAAACGTCAATTTCGACTACTTTCCAATTCTAAAAAACAGTTTGTTTCATTTCAGTCCTTTATATTTTGTGATTAAAAATATATTTTCATAATCATAAACGGTTATGGGAGACATTTTATTTTATATTGATTTTACCAAAAATCATCGATTTCAGTAGTTTTTGGTGCACGTTGAAAAATTTTAATAACTGTGTCCAAATCAAACATTTTGAAGTCAGAGTTATCTTATCTTATCTTAAAGTAAAATCAGAGAAAAATATTCTATAATTTTATTTTTTTTCTTGCGTCAATGCAAAAAAGTCAAATTTCTCCTTCAAATCGTATTTTGTGTTAGAAAAATATATTTCAAGCGAACCTATGATACAAGAAAAGAAACACGACACTTCCGAGTACCAGAACATACATTTGAATTCACGGAACTTAAAATAAATCTGGTTGTTCGTATTTAGAGGTTAGACGGCAGTCGAGTTTGCAATCTCACAATATTTCGTCTACAGATTTACACAAAAATAGTGAAGATGTTTTTGTAGAGGCAACTGCAGAAGCAAAACGGATGAAATAAGCAATACTGTGTTGTGTAAAAAAATGCGATTTTAAATTATCTATACGGCTGTTCCCATCGTACTAGCTATATATTGTTGTATACACTATAACATGATGTTTGTTTTAGTTCAAAGACTTGTCTTTATTAGTACAGAATGCTTTTAGACTAAATTTTACATTACAAAATGTAGACATAAATATGTTCAAATGAGTATTATTTGATACATAAGAGTAAATTGAACAGTTTAACGTTAAAAAAATATTTAGGAATGAATCTTGAATTCATTAAAAAACAATAACCAAAGAAAATATTACATTTTGTCATAGGTTATCATAAATTGATCAATTTGCCTGACTAAGTATGATCAAATGTTCTAAGTATTGAAATTCAGATATGCACTACCGCTTAATATTATTCCTCCTGCAGCAAATGCAGTCATCAATGATCCAATATATAGAAACACATATGTTATTATCATTAAATTCTGACTATAACCATTTTTTATTTTAAAATTTGTTAGAATATCATTAACTATATTTCGATATTCCTCCGGTATCGGCATTTCAAGTTCAGCTAGACTACTACGTGCTACGATAAAATATTGTTTGATTGATTTTTCCACTAAATTTGGCCAGAATGCTATCACCCCACATATGATAAATAATGCAGCCAAAAATAGCAGGAAGATTGGTACAAGATAAAATATTGGTTTAAACGTACTCGTAAATAGAATTAACGATAATAGACTTGTAAATCCAAGAATAATGAAGAGCAGACCAAATATCGATAAAATAGCTGATGTTGTTTGATGGTCATTTATACATACCGTATCGATAACGCACCGTTTAAATAGACCTAATTCAAATGAACTTAATGGTTTTAAACTAATTTTTAACCATGATGTTGACGCTATACCAGTTATAGCAAATATTAGTGTTAACGAAACCAAACCCAATGTAACAAACGTCAATAATCGAGTCGTATTCATCGGCGACGAATGAGAAGTATTTAATTAATATGCTGATAAAGAGACGAAAGAAAATAATTCATGAATAGAAAGAGAAAAATGTATACTATTTCATCAATTACAAAAAGCTAGAACTGCAAGAAAATTCATTTTTTTATTCCATTAGAGACATAAGGAATATAAATGATATAACTGACATTTCCATGTTTTTCGAGCTTAAGGTGGAAAGAGGGACTATATGTGATATGTAACTTCATCTTTCATATAGCAGATTAACAGTGTGTAGCACAGCACGCCCACGTCAATAAAGAAAACCAGAATAGAAACATGACATTAAAGATATTCAGATGTAAAATATTTAATAATAGGTATAAGTATAAAATACTCAGTGTAGGTTAATTCTAATAAATCTCACTGATGAGCGTACATTGGGTAATTTTCACTAATCACATGCTCTTTTGACCTGCAAGCTAGAGGACAACTTAAAAGCGCGTTTTTTATAGGTTAGCTTGTGTGCTCTATCTAATGGAATGCTTTTCGAGTTCTAAAAAAGTTTTCTAAGTGGTTTTCCAGAGAACCCGTCTCGATAAAACCACTTAGAAAACGTTTAAAAAACTCAAAAACCATTGCATTGGATAGAGAATCATCGATAACCTATAGAAATAGTGTTTAGACGATTTCATCTGTTGATAATTTCAAATTTCAAAATTTCAGCCAAAAATCCCTATACGCACATGCAAGAAACAAAGGAATCAACTAAATTCAAAAGTTTCCATACCAATACGGCTGAATTGTACACCATTCGATGCAGTTTTTTTGCGCTGATTCCAAATATATTATTGGTTTTTAATTCATATGTTCCTGAATTGAGATAATCCGGATTTATGCCTCCGACGAGATCTTCGGATCAAAAATCTATAACTCGGTCCAGAAACATTTGCTCTAGTTTGCGCTAACGGCATCGATGTATCATTAGTAGATGCATCTTCTGTGAAAATCTCATTGAATTTGGAGCTTGGCTAAACTTGGCGCACTCACTATACGGAGGACTGCTCTTCGGAAAACACTTAGCAGACAAAGAAACATTATTTTTTCTCGATTTCAAAGCGCCTCCAAAAAAAGTTATTTTTACGAATAGACAGAGTAAAAGGTCTAGTTTCGAACTACGTATGATTTTTACGGCTCATTCTTAGCTGATGAGGGAAAGGGGGAGACCCCAACTGTCCAGAAGCTTTTGGCCCAAAACTTAGTGGACAATAGGTAATCGGGTGTCCTGATTCCGAATATTACATTGGTTTGGGCCCGATTCTAGTTTTAAGGCCCGATTTTTGAAATACTGGG